AGAGAAGGAGGAAGGGAGGGAGGGGAGGAAGAGAGAGAGAGACAGAGAAAGAGAGCAAAAGCGAAGGAAGAAGGGAGGGAGGGAGACAGAGAGGAGAGAGAGACAGGAGAGAAAGGGAGAGGAGGAAGGACGAGAGAGAGAGCAAATAGACAAAGAGACAGAGACAGAGAAGAGAAAGAGAGAGCAAAAGATAAGGAAGAAGGGAGAGAGAGAGAGAGAGAGAGAGAGAGAGAGAGAGAGAGAGAGAGAGATCCTGCAGCTGACAAACACGGATGGCAGCGTGGGCTGTTAGAAAAGAGACGAGCACATGTGGAGCAGAGGTTCTTGGGTGGAGGGGACTCCACAGAGAACAGAGGCAGTCCGTGGAGGGCCTGCTATTATGTGTGAGGACTGGCCAGTCATGGTAGCAGTGCCTGAGGATGTGACTTGCGTACTGACCACCAAAGCTGGCCAGGACCAAGCCAGCCCCCTCTGCCAGGAACACTCCAGCTCAGAGCAGCCTCCAGATTACTGTGACAACAATGGCAAAATGCAGGGGATGGAGCTGGATTTGGAATTTGGGGTTGGAGGGTGGGGTAGGGGAGAGGAGGGGAGTGGGGGGGTACAGAAAGCTCATTGTTCCTGGGTAATATCAGCACAGGAGGTTGCAGTGGCAACGTGACAATGAGGAAAAGTGAAGGGTTCTGAGTGGAGTATTGGCCAGGGGTTGGGCTGCGTGCCCAACAGGCTGCGTGTGTGTGTGTGTGTGTGTGTGTGTGTGTGTGTGTGTGGGTGTGTGTGTGTGTGTGTATGAGTGTGTGCGCACCTGCCTGTTTGTACCCTTGGAAGTTCTCTAGTATCTGCACCTAAGGGAGAGAGGGCAGAGGAAGGTGACCTGGATCTGTGTGGGACAGGAAATGAGAGGAGTATATTGAAGTTCTTTGGCCCAGAGAAGCATCTTTCAGAGCATAGATGCTCCCCTGGATTGGGAAGCTCGCTTCCGTGTGAGCATGGCTGTTAGTTCCTATACATGTAGCCTCCACTGGCCATTTTCTCAGTTCTTGTCCTACTTGACATCTCCGTAGCTACGTCAACGTAGCTGTTGACACTATCAACTTAGAGAAGGTAGGACAGTTTCCCTCACTTGACAGACTTCATGACCAAGGTATTTCCTAAATGGGAGGGAGGGATTCTGCAGGCTTTGGAGGCCCGTAAAAGAAGGGCGACCCCGCTGGGTGCCCAGGGAAGGCATGCCATATAAAGAAGCTGGAGAGAAGGCTACCCTGCCAAGTTTTGCTTGGAATTTAAATTTACACCAGGGCAAGGCTGCAAAGATAGAGCTTCGAGATGGGGGAAGGAGACTTGGCCACATGACGGCCGTTAGCGTACCCTCCCTGAGACCTCACTTTTCCTCTCTGAATCTTCATTCCCTCGGAGCTTCCTTTGAAATCCTATAGTATATTGATGTGTCTGTTAGCTTCTCTTGCTAGGCTTCTTCTCCTGTCTTGTCTTAGACGGTTTGGTGGTTGATTGTGTGGGGGGGGGGGGGGGGAGTGTACAGTGTCCAGGCTGTAAATATTCAGGTCCAGTGCCAGGGGCAGCTGTACTTTCCTTCCTGCTTTCATCAGGAACACATGTGTGATGATGCAGAAGGTGGAAGAAAACAAGGCAATGTATTGTGTGTGTGTGAGAGAGAGAGAGAGAGAGAGAGAGAGAGAGAGAAAGGAGATTGCAGGATTCCTCTCACTATGGTTTTTTTTAATGAGTGGTTATGTATATTGGTTTCCACATCGTTCTAACTTTGCACCCAGATTCTCAGATGTGCATCATTTGATATTCTCAAGTCCAGCCTGAGTCCACTGCATTCATGAACCCCTCTCCAGCCTGCCTGCCAGATAGCCAGTTGATCTCTACCTGAGCTCATCCAGTCGTGAGGACTGTCTTCTCTCACAAGGCAGCCTGGCCATTC